GAACCTGATGGTTTGCAAATAGAGGAAAAACTTCCCCAATCGAAACGCCATTTTTTCGCTTTGTGAAACGAGCTGCGCAGTGCAGTTTAAACCGGATGTGACGTCACTTTTTGGTGGATGATCCAGAAACGCAAATTTCAGGAGTCTTCTGCCCCGCCCCCGGTCAATAACCAATAACCCATATTTGTGCAATAGGTCATTCAAAACAATCAATCAATCATTAGTCAGTCTAATCAATCAATCTATTAATCATCAATCATTCAATTAACCAATCACCAGCCAGTTAGCAAAATTAATCAATCAATCTGCTAAATCCTGCAGATCCCCTTACACTGCTCTTGCGTCCCTAATCATCGCAATTCTGACAATCTTCAATAAATTGTATAGGAAACTAGTCAACAAAAAGGTCACGAAAAACTGGCTGCTAAATACATTCAGTTAAACATGCAGCTAAATACAGGAACTGCAACCCTATCAAAGACCTACAAGTAACTATTCCCAAGTAAGCTCTAATTTTAGCTAACGCTGACTCAAAGCCACTGGAACCTAACCAGAGCGCTTCTCCGGCAAACAATGTTGCCATATAGGCTACCTGTGGTGTTGGTTAGGCTAACCAAAGTGGTGTTTAGGCTAACCGGAGTGCATTTTAGCTCAGTGCAATTCCTGTCTTTTATAGACAGTTCAAGAAATAAATGAGTATCACTGTTAGTCAGACATAAGTGGTATTCGAATCTTTAAGTCACCTTGCCCATAAGAAAATGAGATACCACCACCCTGCTTTTCAAAGAGACGTTTACGTGTAACTGTTAATCCCCTTTCCCTTAGGGTATGAGTTTACTTGGTGTGTCCCCCCTTTCTGGTTTTACAGCCCCCCTCCTGGTAATTGTTGCACAGTCCTTTATCCGCAAGAATACTTACGTAAAGTCAATGACTGAACTTTCTTAAGGTGCTCGTAAGGCGGGGTTTTCCTAAACCCTAGCTTATTGACTTAGTGCTAAGTCCAGAAGAAAAAACGTTTGGTTGGATGGACATTTGGTTGCAAAGTCGGTGGGAAATGTCATCGACTCAAATATTTCTTAGTTCAGTCCGACCTTACTCAACAAATAAGAATTCTATTTGAACAGTTTGGAAACTCTCTTGGTGAATGTTGTAAATTGCGCACGCTTAATGGGTTATTGACGTACTGAGATCGGCCAGCGTTTTCGTGGCCGGCTCATCTCAACCTGTCCGGCATTTCACAGGTCAGCCGCTGGCATTGATTTCTACTGGACTGCGTCGAGGAGATCTTACAGTAGAGCACTATGGCTAAAGTATTGCTTATTCTCATCGGTCAAACACTTTACTTTACATACCTGTTGCTGACGGGGTAATGGGTCTGATTGTGACATTCAGGTAGGTGAGCCGTGTACCATTACCAACAACGTTTTAAGCTTGACATGCATACTGTCCGGAATCAGCCGCAGACACGTTTTTCAACTTCAGTTTTAGCTCCCATTTTGGCCAAGAGTCGACGTTTTGAAACGGCGTTAGTTCGTACAGCCTCTGGTTTATGAGAGTACCTAACTTCTTGTCATCCAGGACGTCAGAATCACGGTAATACCAACGATATCTAGTATCGGGATCCTTTGTGAGCACAATACAGTGCAGTTCAAGGTTGCTACCAGCATAGACAGGTTCTTCCTGTTCCCATATGATAAATATGCGAGGAATGCTGTGGATTTTCTCTTTAGGAGAAAAAAAAGCCAGTGTAAAGGCATAGCTTCTTCGCCAAAGACTTCGACTGTAATGACATTCACGTACATTGATTGATAACTACCTTGTAGCACTGTCTAAAGATGCTGGGTCACGCACGTGTCACGCAAACGTCACACAATGTTTTGGAGATTCTTACTTATTTACAAATTTAAAGATTACAATACAACAATCATTTTACAGATGAATCGCAAATACAAACAATGAAAATCTGGGAATATTGTCAGTATATAACTCGCTTTCATCACGATTCCACTGATTACTAAAACCTGATCTCTGTAGTGGGCAGCAAAGGCTAACGCGGAAAAACGTGCTAACGTCTCATTCAATCAGGATTGATGTCGGTTTTCTCCTAATCAACAGCCTGACCGAATGAAACAAAAAACAAACAAAAAACAAACAGCATGCTTCCCCTCAATGATTGGCTACAAAGAGTGTCATGCGAGGCTTTTGAGCCAATCACAGAACGACGCAAAACACTTACATTCAGGCGTTTCAATTTTCTTTGAGGCAGCGGAAGATTAGAATAAAAGAACGCCCGGTCGCAGGTTACATGATTTCTTCTATACAGTGAATTTTTTAAACTGCGCTTCTATAAAGTAAAAAGAGAACAACGTTCCGTGCTACTTACCAATTACGTCAAAGTTGTACGAATATGTTAATCGGCCATACATGTTCGATACAATGCATGTGTAATTCCCCTCATCAGCGACATCCACTCCAAAGAAGTTAATAATGTAGTCATATTGCCCTGTTGCTATAAACTCGCCGGCTCTGTGTCTTCCTTGAAACACCTTGTCGTCCTTGTACCACGTGACTACCGGAGCTGGGACACCTTTGGCCTCGCACGTCAGTGTAAACTTGTCGCCTTCCTTATAAGCCGATTTTATCGCCTCCATTTTCGTTGGATAAAGGAATTGTGGCTTTTCTGTAAAGTTGACAAGTAAACAGCGTTTTTAACTTCACAGAAGCATAGAACAGAGTAGATTTCTTATTTAGAGCGGTTTTCATTTTATGTTGAAAGTCATCACAGATGCTGGTAATGCGGGACATTCAGGACATGTGCAACAAAATGTATGCTTAAATCACATTTGGGAATAACGCATTTCTCCCACTCTTTGAGAACACCACATGTAGATTCCAAAAAGAAGCGATATTATTAGAATTCCTTCTGTTTAATCAAGTACAACTAGTTATAGACTTTCAGAAAGTCCTTCGTCTTGTTTATTCATGACCTAAATAGCAAATTCAGTTTATTCTTTGTCTTCAATTTGATGATCGGAGAAAATGCTTTTGAACAAAGGAAAAAGAAACCCGGATAAACATGTCACCCTGGGTTAGCGCTAATCGGCTTCCGAACAACTGGACCGTGATGGAAAATAAAAGATTTGTAATTAAATCTGAGGATGTAATAATAAGCTGTACCTCCTGTAATGTTCGTAGGTGAAACTGTTGGGTCTAAATAAAGAGCAAATCAACAAAATGAGCGTGTTAGATATACTATTCATCAAATACTATCGCGGAAGAGTTCTCGTCATTTGGTCATTAGCCTCATAAAGAAACCTAGAACACATACATGTTTTTCTTTACCCAAGCAAGTGCCTCGGTTCCCCCCTGTTAGCAGCTACGGTCCTGTTCAGAGAGTAAGTTTACGCAAAAACTATTTTCTCAAACTTCTTGGGAAAGGAAAAAAATTACAGGGCGGGATGATAGATTGGATAACTGATAGATTGATAATTTTTACTTGCTCTGTAAGATTGTAAATATGCTAGTCATAATAAAAGTTGTTGTTGTTGTTGCTGTTGGAAGGAACGGGAGGGGGGTAAAGCAATGAACAATTGCTGGTTTTCAGTGTCACGTAATTCAAAGTAGATCAAAATAAAAATCAAAGCCGGTCAATAGATAAAGTCCAGAATCTGGGAAATGAAAGAAGGTAAATATGCAAAGACTCTCGCCAAAATTCTGGTCACAGCAATTTTTC